GGGGCGGTTGCCGGCCATGGCGCGCATCCTGCGCAACGTCTTCGTGGCCGAGAAGAAGCAGGCGCTGACCATGGAGGTGGCTTGTGCCCGCATGGCTGACAGCTACGACACGCAGATGCCTCCCGGTAGGAAAGTGAGGGGGGGTCTCCTCGCCGGCGCGGGAGGGTCTTTGCAGAAGGAAGGGGCTGCGGAGCTGAGCTCTGACCCGGCGGCTGCCGCTCTTTTTTTCAGCCGAGATGGAGAAACACTTGCGCCTCTTCGCAGAGCTGCTGCCCGACTGGGTGGGGATCCACGCCGTCAGGACGGACACCTACCTCAAACTGGACAAAGGGAAGGACCTCGGCCTCGTCACGGAGAGGCTCGCCAAGGTGGCAAAGGAGGCAGAAGCCCCCTGAGCCCCCCGAGGGTCCGGCTTCCCCCGTGCAATCTCCTCTAAATGTAGCAAATCCCGACTGCGCTCCAGGGTCTGGTGCGGGCTGACGGGGAGGCTCATCCTCAGGGATGTCTTGAGGAAGAGCAAAACACCTTAATTTAATGAATTCCTCTGCCAGGGTCCATGAGGACCGCAGCTCCCCTGACCCTCGAGCTGAAGGCAGGCGGTCCTGCGTCCTGGGGTGATGATGCAAGCGGTGAAGAGGAGCTAGTAACCTCCTCTGGGCTTCGCTGCGTTCTCCTGAGGGTTTGATGCAGGAGGTTTCTTCCATTAACTGGGCCCTGGTGGGGTGGAGGCAGGACTGGGCAGGGTGAGAGGGCGACAGGCAGAAGGAGTGAGAGAAGTCACAAGCTGATGTTTTTGGAGTTCTGGGCCTTTTTCTGTTTTTAAGGGAGGGAAAAAGCATCTCCAGCGCTCGCTGGAAACAACTACAGGACTTGTCAAAACATATTTGTATTAAATGTTTTAAATATAGCTGACTTGTGTTAACCCAGCGCTCTTCCTCCGTGAGCTGCCCGTCTGCACCGCGTTAGCACCGCGGTTCTCCATGGCAATTGGCGCCGGCCGGCGCACGCAGGGAAGGGCTGGGTCGTCATCCAGCTCCTGGAGAAAGACTTACTGGAAAAAGTGAGCGTGGGTTTGCAGGGAACTGAATGCAGCTCTTGTAAATAGGGACGGCGGAGCAGCTCCCGCGGGGACGGGAGCCGGCAGGGCTGGGGGTGGGCTCGGGGGGGCTTCTTCCCAGGGGAAAGCCTGGGCCGTTCAGCTGAAGCGGCTTGGGAAGAGGGACAAAGAGGGTGCTGATGGCTGCGGAAGTGCCAGGACGGGCAGCGTGGGCGCAGGGGCGGAGGTGGGAGCCTCGCACCGCTTTCTGAGCCAAAGGCGGCTGGTTTTAGCGTGGGGCATCGGGAACTCGCACGCAAAGGGGACTGTCCTTCATCCCGCTGGCTGGGGGCCGCGCTGGGCCAGGGAGGCTTCCCCACCTGAAGCGCTGCTCTCAGAAGCCAGCAGCATCCTTGATGGCCGTAGTGCTGCCTGAGGGAGTAGGCAGGCCCTCCTCCTCCTCTTCCAGGGCCTTGCTTGCCATTGTGCAGGCCAGTTGGCCAGCACTGCTGGCAGGAGGTAGCCCTCTTTCCAGGGAGGAGCGTTTAAACCTGGCCTGGAGGCTGGAGGGATGCACGGGGCTGGGGTGCGAGGCTGGGCTCTGGGTGCAGGCTGGGTGGCCGTAGTGCTGCCTGAGGGAGTAGGCAGGCCCTCCTCCTCCTCTTCCAGGGCCTTGCTTGCCATTGTGCAGGCCAGTTGGCCAGCACTGCTGGCAGGAGGTAGCCCTCTTTCCAGGGAGGAGCGTTTAAACCTGGCCTGGAGGCTGGAGGGATGCACGGGGCTGGGGTGCGAGGCTGGGCTCTGGGTGCAGGCTGGGCTATCGGCCCAC